AGATTTACCATGAACTCCTATGACATTCACTGAACATGTTGTAGATTTCCCGGGGATGAAACATCCTAGTGGTCTTGAGCTAGAAGAGATTGTTCAGTGTTACGATAACAACAATACAGGAACAATGAACGATGCGTTCTGGTGGACATTCAAATGAACTCTGAACTGTTTGATGAAATATGGAAAACGGCAAGACAGAACCAGGCCTCACAGAATAATGTCTGTCAGACTTGGATGCAAACAGGAATTGCAGTAAAGAAAGTTTTTAAAAGTTCTTGATGACACGAAAAGTCAAAAACCTGCTTTTTGGGATGAGCAAAATCGAAAACCGTGACATGGATTTCTGAAGTAATCCATGCACTTTACCTCAGTCCTCCTGTTCAACATTTTCAAAATAGTTAGATGTAAACTTTAAAACAGGACTTCCAAAGATTCTTTAAAACTGGAAATTGAAAAATCCAAGAGTATTTCTGTGAGGACTGGTGATGTTTATGCCAGCAGAATAAAGATGGTTGAGCAATGCCTGTTGGGTGCTGGGTACTGGATTGGATATGCATGCGCTTCGTAAGCAAAAAGCACCTTCCATATGCACATCACTGAAAAAACAAAAAAGCTCACTTAATTTTGGTCCTATATATCCAAATCAAAGTCCAATTTTGTAGTTTGTTTCACAACCTGCTCAGTTCCATCAGTGAAGTGAAGTATTTCAAACTCAAACACTCCAAAATGTCTGGTCTTTTCACTCGACCTACATGTAGTGAAAGACGCGATACAGTGTATTGCTAAAATGTCTTGTGGACACTGCAGTCATTGAAAGATGACAAAGTTAAGCTACTACAATACACAATTGACCAGTCTAGTACCCAGCCTTCTTGGTATAATCAGTACTGGCATATTATTTTAAAGTAATTCCAGGGATGCTAGATCTTTCCATGTCTGGTGCATTCGGCTTTTCTCTCAAATGTTTACTAATGAAAAACCAATCATCACTTCTTGGCCCAGCAACCAATGTCTGTGCAAAGTTTGTAAGTCATTATCAATTTATTCAGATAATTTGTCGTCATGGCAACTATGTGGTATGCTGAGTAAATTAGAAGACAATAAATTTTCAGGAATAACTTTGGACAGCATCAATTTGGTAGACTTCAGCAACTTTGAGTC